CTCTCTCTCTCTTTCTTTCTTCCTTTCTTCCTTTCTTTTTCTGTATATCTTTCTTTCCAATTCTTCCTTTTTTGTTTTTCAAAATCTTACTTTATCACGTAATTTTACTTCCCTTCACGCCAAAGAAAACTAGAATAATGTTTACTTACAACTACTCTTGTCTTCAATTGACTACCTCCACACAAAAAACACTCTAGGTATTTTACGACTATCAATTTCGGAAAAGGGAAGACCACAGATGTCACGTTTCATTTTCAAGCCAAGATTTGTGTTGCAATGCATTATGGGAAATTTGTCTAGAGCCTGACTCAATGGAAGGGGGAAAAAGAGACGACTGGGAAATCGTGTTTCCAAGATGGCTGAAGATTTAATGGCGGATGCAAGCTAAGCTAAAACAGTCGTCTCTTCCTCTTCCTTCTTCCCCTCCTTTGACCCTTTGCGCACGTAAGAGAGAGACGACTGGGGACGAGTCAGGTCTAGAGCCACTCGGTCAGTTCATTCGTTCCTGCTAGCAAGGTATCAGCTAAACATATTCTTCACAAGCCACATGTTTGAGAGAGAAAAATGACACAGTAGGTACTGGGTGTCCATGGCCAATTACGAGCTCACAGCTATAGACAGAAATGGGGGCTTCCAGAAAAGCACTGAAAAACCTCAAAGAATGTTTAGTTCTTGAAAGCTTCAAGAAAATAAAACTAATTTTTACCTTCTGCTTGTTTTCCTCATGTTTTCTCCTTGGAGACTCCTTGAACGGCCATATCTTGTCAGGATATATCACAAGCAGGACGAAAACAGAAGCACAATCGCCTTCAAAACTAGGAATTCATGATATTTACATGATATCTTACACGCAGTACTAACATGTCAGCGGTTGAGGCTTGAAAGTGAGGCTGAATAAAGGCAGCCATCTTGAAAGAGAGAAAAAATACTTTATACAACTCGTACAGCCTTTAATATTACTTTTGTTCAATAAGTAATAAAAAGATAACGTTAATATATATTTTATTATCAATAAGAAATATGAAGATCTTTTCATCACATGAAAAATGGACGTAATGTCTTTCCACAGGAAGCCCAATTTTACATTTTAAATCTCTCGAGAAAGTGTTTCTTTGCGTTTTGTCATCATCTACCAATAGAGGAAGAAATACCTCTCAAGAGAATATCAACTTTACAACGAAAATTACATCGAAAATGTCTCAGTGTAGAAAGTTTTGATATGCAAAGACAATATTCTCTATTATATCCTTGATAAAATGATAAATATTTTGTAGCATATGAATGGTACAAATAACATTAATCTATTTACGAACATCTGTTGCGTGACTGGAGTACGATATATAGGCCATTAAAAAGTCATGTGATTCTGATGATTGGATAACATTTGAAGAGGGACAGGTTTTGCGTGACAAAGCATGTGACTCTCATGATTGTTTCTTTGAACTGCTTTTAAGCGTGCCCTGAACTTCATAATCTTTTTTTGCCTTGCGTGACACATCACGTGACTCTGCTAGTGTTCGAAACTTCCAAATCAACAACAGATACAGGAAGAGTGCTTTTCTTCCGTGCGTGACGTGCGTGACTCGATACAGCGGTTATTCCTCCTCTTGATTCCGACGGCACCACACGAGCATTGGTCTTCCTACAGCACAAGAGATCAATCAAGTAACGTCGAAATCTCTCATTGTGAAATCCATAGATAATGGGGTTGACCGCTGAATTGAATGTTACCATGGCGACAGTAGCTGGGTACGTGATATTGACGTCTAAAGAGTGAGGCGCGTAAGCGAACAGCACGAAAATCGTGAGCTCAGGGACATATGACAAGGTGTAAATAAGGCTGACAATCAGCACCATCTTAGTGACCTTCTTTCGACGCTTTTTTTCAATTTCCTGATTATTGACTTGTATGACTTCACGTTTAAACCAGAGCGTATGGACGACTCGGGAGTAGAGAATACACATTGTGGTTATAGGGATGACTCCAAGAACGACGAACGTTAGAGCGCTGTACACCTTGAACGAGTAATGCGCCGGCCACCTCATTGCGCAGAATCCCAATTTCTCATCGTATCGTTTGACAGCAAAACCAATCGAATTCCAAGAAAGAGCGAAAAACCAACAGCAAAACACGAGCACCTTCAGATTATCTTTAGTAATGCTGACGTCACTTTTAGCGGGCTTCGTGACGGCGAAATATCGTTCGATTGCTATGGCAACAAGGAAGAACGCTGAAGCGTATCCTCCCATCCACGCAAAACTCTCCCCTGTCAAGAACACGCAAAGTAGATCCCCGGCCAGACCAGTGGGATGGGTGTATGCACCCTTGAAGATGAACGTAGGGGTGAAGAAGACTAAAAGTATCATGTCGGAAATAGCAAGGTTGACGAGTAGGTAGTTCATCGGTGTTCGCATGGGTCGGTTAAGTAGGATCACTAGACATACCAGGACGTTACCAGTAACTCCTGTCACTGTTACTATCGAGAATGCTGTCCTGATGATAATCTCTCCTGCTGTAAGCATATTTGATCTTGTGAATCAAGAGCTGGTGATAAAATAAAATAAAACAAAAGTAAAACAGTGAGAAAACCAATAAAGTGCGAGAAAACCATTTGGATGCAAAATAGGCAATTTTTTACTCAAAAGCCAGTTGTGTGCAAGAAAACCATTTGTGTGTAATAAGAAAACCACGAGTATGGGCAACTCACGTGAACATCATGTGAAAATCACATGGCAGTGATCACATGATTTACGAAAAGCAGTGGTAATTACATACTTCAAGTTTTTTTCGCCAATTTTTCACTCTGACTAAAATATGACACTCTTTATTCGTAAATATAGTTTGAAAAACAACCAAAATTTAGGGATTTTCAAAAAATTCAGCCACGCAAATTTTTTTTTTTGACAGACCTTATTTTACCTTTGATGGCTCATTTTGTTCATCGACCGGACAGCTCAAGAACTTTGTTTACCCAATAAAAAAGAGATCTTCTACTTTGTTAGAACTAGAACTAAAATTAGGGAAAAATAGAGGACATTGAACTACTAACATATATTTATAATATTCTTATTTACTTTAGGAAATAAGCCGTGGTGGCAACTTTGATTATATTCGCTCTAATTCAACGTCTAATACCTTTTCTTTCTTTTTAAAAATATTTAAGCGTATAAACAGAATGAGAAACAGATTGCGGTTTGACTTCCCGTCTAAGTGGTTTCTTCTTTACGACTTCAAAATATCTTTTTTATTTGATCAAGAAATGTTCAAAGACAATTACAAAAATTGGCTTTCAACTGCAGTGTATGCCAGTCGTGTTCATAAAAATATATAGCATCTTTGTTTTACTGCCAAGAATAGTACTCATTCTTATAAAAACGAAACAGTACGAGTGTTTAAGATTAGAGTCAGTATATTCTTGTGTTACAAGAAAACTTATAATCCTCATTCTCCGTATTACAAAACCATCCTTGGTCGAAAGCTAAAAGTCATAACGGTGAATGAAGTCCAACGATGAATTTTAGAAGAAAAAAATCAAGATTTTTTCGAAGAATCCAGGGAAAAAAATTTATTATCTTAAAGATAATCGTAAAAAGGACTTCCTTCTCTACTTTGTTTTTTTCAAAAATTTCCTTAACAAGATCAAAATTTAAACATTAATATATTTCATTGTTTTCAACAAACCTGTTTTTTATGACTCACTTAACTCCGTTCCCAGCAGAGCAGTAACTCTTATTTTCTTGACTGTGGAAGTTTCTTTAATTACTTTTATTTGGCACAACTTTTGTTTGGCAGATTCGAGAGTTGGGGAAGTACACTGCTTGCTTGCCTACTTGGAAATGCTGCCGTGTTTATCTGGCTATCTAGAGAGAGCCAATCACAAATGAATAAATGAGTTTCAGAATATTAAATTCCCAGCTAGTCATACTGATGGTAGATTAACGGTGACGTGAAGTATGTTAGAAACTTTACGTTCAAGGGGAAATCGTAACTGGGCTGTTAACCTCGGGTTAAGTTGATCAAAATACGTTGTGGTTGATCTTTTGGCATATGGGGGAAGGAAAGGAAGGGGAAAAGAGGGGAAAGGAAAGAAAAGAAAGAAAAGAAAAGAGAAGAGAAGAGAAGAGAAGAGAAAAGAAAAGAAAAGAAAAGGTCGGTATCAGTTCTAA